ATATTTATAACTGTTATGTCTTGTTGGTGTATGGTTCCCTTAAGCAGTTCGAAATATCCATCTTTATCCCTTTTGATTAACTTTGGCTTGAAGTCTACTTTATTTGATATGAGGATGGAAACCCCTGCTTGTTTACGCAGAACATGTGAATGGTATATTTTTTCCCAGCCTTTCACCTTCAGTCTGTGGATGTCTTTTCCTATGAGATGAGTCTCTTGAAGGCAGCATATTGTTGGGTTTTTTTTTTTTTAATCCAATCTACCAGCCTATGTCTTTTGATTGGTGAGTTTAGGCCATTAACAGTCAGGGTTATTATTGAGACATGATTTGTATTTCTTGTCATTTTTGTTTATTTTTGATATTTAACTTGACTTGTTTTCTCCTTTGGTTAGCTTTCCCTTTATTCTTGTTCTTCCCTCTGCAGATTTTCATTGTTGTTTTTCATTTCCTCCTTGAATATTTTGTTAGAATGTTCTGTAGTACAGGCTTTCTTGCTATAAAGTTGTTTTAGCTTTTGTTTATCACGTAAGGTTTTTATTTAATCATCAAATCTGAAGCTTAATTTTGCTGGATATAAGATTCTTGGTTGGCATCCATTATCTTTTAGAGCTTGGTATATGTTGTTCCATGATCTCCTGGCTTTGAGGGTCTGGGTTGAAAAATCTGCTGAGACAGGAATTAGTCTTCCTTTATCATAATCTGATTTTTCTCTCTTATGGGCTTTAAAATTCTATCCTCATTCTGTATGCTAGGCATTTTCATTATAATGTACCTTGGTGTAGATCTGTTGTAATTTTGTACATTTGGTATCCTATAGGCCTCTTGTATTTGATTTTCCAATTCATTCTTCATGCTTGGGAAATTTTCTGATATTATTTCATTGAAAAGATTGTGCATTCCTTTGGTTTGAATCTTTGAACCTTCCTCTATCCCAATAAATCTTAAATTTGGTCTTTTGATGGTATCCCATAATTCTTGGATATTCTCTTCATTGTTTCTTAACATCATTACTGTGAGGTCAACTTTATTTTCAAAATTGTATATTTTGTCTTCATTATCTGATGTCCAATCTTCCAAGTGATCTACTCTGTTGATGATGCTTTCTATTGAGTTTTTTTATTTGGCTTATTGTTTCTTTCATTTCAAGTGTTTCTGTTTGTTTTTTTCAAAATCTCTCTTTCCTGAAGTAATCACTTGCAACCTGTATTTGCTTTCTTAACTCTTTGTTGGTGTGATTGATGGTTGCCTGATTTGTTCTCTTATCTCTTTGTTGGAGTGATTGATTTTTGCCTGGATCTGCTCACTTAGGTCATTCTTTATTTCCCAGATCATTTTAGTTTTGTATATTCTGAACTCTTTCTCTGACATTTTACCTTCTGCACTATCTATGGATTCTATTGTTGTAGTATCTTGGATTGTTTGGGGCACTTTCCTCCCTTGTTTTGTCATGATGTCTGTGTGTCTTCCTCTCTTGTGGTGTAGATCCAAGGTATTACAGCCTCTGCCCTATTATCTTACAGTGTGTCTACAGGTTACCAATATCTCACCTTTAAGAGGGAGATCAGTACTATAGCACTCAATGTACCCAACGTGCAGCCATAAATCAGTTAGCTTCTATTTTTACATTTACAGGTTTGTCACTATAATCAGAAATGATGAGTTTGGTTATCTTCTACCTTATAGTCAATAGGTTTGCATAATGGTTTACAGTTTCTAATGGTAGAAGGGGATCTAGGGGGTTGGCTGAGATGTTTATGAGGTAGGATGTGAGAATATGGAAGTATTAAATTATGTGACTAGTGAGAGGAGTAATCATAAGAAGTTGACTGTTAGAAGGAGAAGCAAGAGAGAGGCATCCCCATGCAAGACTCCCTGTTATCTCAGCAACAGGATAATTGTTAACATCAGTAGTAGAGATAACTTCTGGTGCAGGCAGGCCCACAGGGACCTTGGCAACGTCTTACCAGGTCTTTATTGTCCCTTGTTAGAAGCAGTGATATCCCAGTTTCATGGTGGCAGCAGCCTCAAGCCTATATGTACCCTTATGTTGGGCTGTGGAGTCACGCTTTGGTGAATAAGGAACCCCAGTGCATGGTATAGGCACGGGGCAGGCCTCTCTTGCTACAGGGCAGTGAAAATTGGGTTTTATTTCTCTTAGAATCTTACCATTTTTAATTATGTGAGAATATATTATAAACATTTATAGGATTTCCTTGAAAGAATTTAGGAATGCAGAAAAAAAAACAGGTAAATTTATCTTAAAATAGGCTCATTGTGTTTGATGTTGTCTGAAAAATATATTGATAATAAAAGTATTTTGATTTCTAGCCAAGTGGATGCTGTAATTAAATCTATAATTAATCTTTCCTTTATGCTATACTTGATTGTCCTTTGCTTAGCAGAGCAAAATTTTGTTTTTTAAAGATTTAATTCAATTCTCTTTAATATTTTAAGTATTAAAAAATTACACCGGGGCTGGGGATGTGGCTTAAGCGGTAGCATGCTTGCCTGGAATGCGTGCGGCCCGTGTTCGATCCTCAGCACCACATACAAACAAAGATTTGTGTCTGCCGAAAACTAAATAAATAAATATTTTTTAAAAAAAATTACATTAATGAAAATCCCAGTAATTTAAAATGGATTAATAAGGAAGCATACCCCAAAATGAAATAATGTACGTCTAAAAATATTTATTTGAGGACTGGAAGTTATGGCTCAGAGGTAGAGCACTTGCCTAGCATGCATGAGGCACTGGGTTCTGTCCTCAGCACCACATAAAAATAAAATAAAGATATTGTGTCACCTATAACTAAAAAAATAAAAAATAAAAAATATACATTTATTTGAATGGCAGGCATTTAGAACACAAATATTAATAAATCCTGGCAAGGATATGTGGAAAAGGAGCTTTATACACTGTTGGTGTGATTGTAAACTACTATAATTGCTATGAAAATCAGTATGGAGGTTTCTCTGAAGAGTAGGAATGGAGCCACCAGGTGACCCAGTTATCCCACTCCTTTGTATTTATCCTAAAGGATTAAAGTCAGCATACTATAGTAATACATGTATACCCATGTTTAGAATAGCATGATTCATAATAGCCAAACTTGGAACCAGCCTGGTATCCATCAGATGAATAGATTTAAAAAGAAAATTGTGGCATGTATACATAGTGCAGTTTTACTAAGCCAAAAAGAAGAACGAAATTTGTAGGAAAATTGAAGAACATCATCCAAAATGAAATTAGCCAATCTCAGAAAGTCATAGAGTTATATGTTTTCTCTCGTATGTGGAATCTAAGGAGAAAAAGCAGGAGAAAGATCTCATGAAAATAGAAGAGATACCAGTAGAGAGCAAGATGGAAATTAGGGCAAGAGAGGAAAAGAGGAAAAGGGATTATGCTATGTATAGGTATGAATGTGTCACAACGAAGCATACTGTTATATGTAATTATAATTCACCAATATAGAATGAAAAATAAAACATTTGGAGGAAAAATAAAATGCTTGGTTACTTATGACATTGAGATGGTTAATATCTCTTATTTTGTCAACATGGTTTTTCTAAAATGAAATTTGGGGGGCTTTTGTAAAATTATATATATAGCAGATACATATCAAAAACATTTACATGTCAATAGTATAAATATATACTTAATAGAGCTCCTTCATAAAATAAAATCAGGATATTTGTATTGCTTTCTTCAAAGATTTCAGAAGTTCAGATATTTGAAAGGATTCACAAAACTGTACAGAACATGCTTACATAAGTCTTTTATTTAAAGGCAAAGAATGTTGGACAGCAAAGCATTTTCCTAAAATGATTAACCTTATTAGTTATTATTAGGGTCATTCTTTGGTGGACAGCATGTCGAAGAGGACTCTGTTTAAATACTAATTTCATTATTTATTATGAATTCTTAGGTATATTGGAAAAGCAGCCCAAACATCTATAAACCTCACTCTCCTCAACTTCAATAATACACAATTTGCAATTCTTGTGTCTTAAGTGAGATGATTATAAAGTATTTACAACAATTCCTGGTACCTACTAACTAGCTGGGCTATTATTAGCTATTTATAAATTTGTATTTTCTTTTATATTATGCTAATATAGAAAGTAGTTATAAATACTGTTTAAGATTCAAAGGTTAATAAATTAGAATATATTTATGAATTTTGCATTTAATACTTTCTATAAGTTCAATAGCAGTAATGATTTATATTTAAATATACTCGTGAAATGTAATAAGGAAACAAATGACAGTTTATACTCTAGTTTTCTTCCTAAAAATTTATTTTCTTTAATAATCAAAGAGTTCTGTATGTACATTTAATACTTAATTAGTATAATATTTAAAATGTTTCTGTTTTAAAAAGTCATATTATTGTTCTAAAATCGTTTCTATTGGGAATCAAGAAAATATTGAAACTTACTTGATTCTGTTAGAATACTCTGTTTTTTCCTTTGCAACTATTATCTCTGAAGAAAGTAAATATTATCAGGGGCAAAAGTTTTAATTTTTATTGTGATGTTCAAGGAATGATAAAGATTTCATGAAAATAGAAGGGACACCAGTTCATTGAGTTCATTTTCATAGAAAGACCAGTCAGCAGTGTTTTTCTAATTATAGATTCAAGAAATTATAGACATAACCATAGTCTACTTTATGTACTGAAACTCCTTAATTTATAAAAATGATCAAGTTCTTTCTCATGAAATACATTGAATTATTTGTACATTAAATATATTTTATCCAAATAAAATATCAATGACTCACACTTTGCACTTCTCCCTAATCAACTGTACTTTTTCTTCTTTACATTTTCACATGCATTTTGTTAGTGATAAAGGAATCTTTCAGAGTTTACCCCTCAGATCCATTTTTTTAGGCACATGAGTTTGTAATGGTTTCCCCAAACTTAGATTTCTTCCCTAATTTTTTTATTCATTATTGTCTATGATAACAGAGTTCATTTGTTTACTTTGTTTTTTAGGCAAACGAAGTTAGATCTGAGGGTTGCAGTAGCAAAAGTAGAAGAGTTAACTAAAGTGACTGAAGATCTTCAGGAACAAATGCAAAAAAAGGTGTTTTCTATTTCTTAAAATATTTTTTGGTATAATAGACTGACTCTTGTTATGTTTTAGAGAAATTTCAGCTTATCAAGGAAAGATAGGTGTTGTGGTTTAGACATGAGGTGTTCCCCCATAAGCTAATATGTGAAACAATGCAAGAACATTTAGAGGTAAAATTATTGGATTATAAGCACCTTAACTCAATCAGTGCATTAATCCAGTTGAATCAAGTAAATGGGTGATAACTGTAGACTGGTAGGGTGTGGCAGGAGGAGGTACGTCGCTGGGGGCCTGTCTCCTGGTGAGAGAAAGCTCATTCTGCTTTCTGGTGGCCATGTCCTGGGCTGCTTTCCTCCTCCTCACTCTTCTGCCAGGATGTTCTGCTGCACCTTGGGCCTGGAGCAATGGAACTGACTGTCTATGAACCGAGACTTCTGAAACCGTGAGCTCTAAATAAACTTTTACTCCTCTAAAATTGCTATTGTCAAGTCTTTTGTTCATAGCAGTGAAAAAGCTGACTAAAACAATTGGGTTAGATTAAGATAGACTTAATTATTAAAAATTCTACCTCTAACACTTTTTAGCTATATAAATTTCTAAGCCTTAGTCCCTGATCTCTAAAAAACTAATTTCAAATCTCCAATAATGTTAGATTTATGAAGGGGTTACAAGAACTTTCCCATGGATATCCATTATAAAAACTGAGTCAGGCAAAATGGCACACATCTGGAGTCCCAACTACTTGTGAGATTGAAGCAAGAGGATTGCAAATTTGAGGCCAGCCTTGGCAACTTTGAGACCCTGTCTTAGATAAGGTACAAAGGGCTGGGGATGTAGCTGAGGGCTAGAGCACTTGCCTAGTACTGGGTAGGGGAGGGGAAGGAATGGATAATTTTTAAAAAACACTAGAAACTATCCCAATACAAGAAGGAGTGAAAGAAGTAAGAATTGTTGAAACATTTTAAGGCCTTCTGAAGGCTTTTAAATTGATTTCATGTATTCAAGACCAAAGTTTAGAACTAGAAAAGCTATTAGAAATTCAGAAAATATTAGTAGTAAGAGTCACACACAAAAAAAAATAGGACCCTGCTTCCGAGTTTATATTCTTTCCAGATTCATACGTAACATCCAAATCGTGCATATGGGAAGAGGGGAAGGGACCCCAGGAAGCCCAGTGAAGAAGCAGGCAGAGGTCCTAGAGAAACCTGCTCTGGAAAGATAGAAATACATGAAAATAGATATTTTTAGTTTGATACTTTTTATAATTGAGTACATTCTAAATATGTGTACACCTGAGCAACAGAAAGCTGAATCTTTATTCTTTGAAATATCAAAGGGAAGACCCCAAAGCTTGAAATCACAGGTGAATCTCTGCACAGAGAGTGAACCCTCTCTGCCCACATCTGGCCAGTTGCTCAGCTCATGCACAGGGTATACTCCCCACAAACTCAGCTGTAGAGATAACAGTAGGCAACAGCAAGGACTAACCACAGACAGACATCAGATGCTCCATACTAGGAAAAAGACTTCAGTACTCAAGTCCAAGCAAGGTGACTGTCTCCCTGGACAACAATAGCAAAGCTGCAATCCTCAAAAGAATAACACAGAATACAGAGTAGCTCAAGTACATCATCTACAATGTCCAGTTTTCAACCATAAATTACCAGACAGAATTGTGGGATGTATACTCGAGGGACAGGAGTTTGGAGAATGGAAGTGAGACTATCAGTAGAGTCTCTCAGTGGATGCTGCTGTTGAGGTTGTAGGCAAACTTCAAATCAAGAATTATAAATATGTTCAGGGAATTTTTTGAAACATCTGTTTTTAAATTAGAGTAAAGTAAGTTCTCAGAGAAAGGAGAGAGAGAGAAATTTGATTGAGAACTAGAAAATAATTTTTAGTACAGCAATTCTAGAGCTTAAAGTATAGCAAATGAAAAATGATTCATTTGATAGACCCAAGAATAGACTGGAAAGGAGAATGATTTATGAGTCAAAATCAGAACAATAGAATTTTTCCAATAAAAAAATGTTTAAAATACTGAAGTAATCAATGGAACAATATGAGCCGGTAAGTATAATTGAAATTGCACAAAGGAGAAGAGGAACAGAAAAACAGAGAAATAATGACCAAAACTTCCTCAGTTTGGTGGGAAACTAACAGATCCAAGAATTTCCGTGAGCCAAGCACAAAGCAAATCCCTACTGGACACACCATGATGGCACTGACAGTTAATTTTAAAAGAAAAAAAAAATTGAAAATAGCAACAGAACACTGACCTGCACAGGGAAACCACAACAAGATCAATGGCAGAGTTCTCGGGAAGAAGCCTTGGATGCAGAAAGTATTGGAATAACAGACACAAAGTGCTGAAGAGAAAAAAAAATGCTCGCTAAGAGTTCTGTATCCAGGGCAGCTATATAATAAACTAATACAAAATCCACACCCCTGCCCCCCGCCACCACAGAACTACATTTCAAAAAATTCTGAAGGAAGTTTTTAGGCTGAAAGGAAATTTGCACTGATGGCAACTCATATGTAGGAAGTATTAAAAACAAGAGGAAGATGTCTATTTTTTTCTTTTCTCAACATATTCAAGTATGCAGTTATAATAAATGACAACGATGACACAAAGGACTAACCTAGTACATGGAGGTATATTGTTGCAAGGTTCCAGTGTCATTTCTGAATTAATTTAATATTAACTTTACATAGGGATAAATTAAAGAAGCATATTATGATCTCTACAGCAGCACCCCCCACACACAACAAAAAGTAATTCAGAAACACAGTTAAAAGCAAGAGGAATTTAAATAGCATCATATAAATATTTAACATAAAAGAAGATAGGGAAGAATAGACAAAATTTTTTAGGAAGATGATAAAATAAAATCTATGAATATATTTCAGAGCATCATCATGTCAGAGGAGAAACACCCTGAGGTTACTGTGGTAGATAATGATTTAAAAGACCATATCCTAAAGGCCAGCTGTCTGAATGAAAATACCTGTCTTGCTGTTAGATTCCCACTATAGAATCAGTTTGAAACCTTTGTAGAAATCTGTTTGTACAAATCTATATGCAATGACTGTTTTGATTGATTGTCTAATATAGTATTGATGGTGAAGTTCTCTCCTATCTTTGTTATATATGTCATTCCTTTCCAAAGTCACATGGCTTCTTTAAACTTAGTTTGAATTATAGCAGCATAACTTCGTGCCGTGAGCTCTTTTCTTCAGGCTCTAAAGTGGTGTACTAAGTTTTCATGTACTTGAAATAAGCTTCCAGTCTCTCCATTTTCTAGGAGGAGGATATGCTGTCTGCCCAGGGAAGAGAAGACGCATCAGATAAACGCCTACATCAGTTACAAACAAGTATAAAACAATTAGAAGTGCGGTGAGTTGTTAAATATGTGTGGCTTTGTCTGTATACTTCAACAGATGTGCTAAAGTAGAATTTCTATTTATGGTGTTAGAATATGTATTATAAAGTGCTAAATCAAAACTATAATTGTCATCCAATATTTTGGACATTATTTTAAAATTCACTTTCAGAAAATTATTATACTTTGAATATATGTTCAAAAATCATTTGTTTAATGAGACTATACCTTTCACACAGTGTGTTATAGTAATCATAACTTTTAAAAAAATTTTTTTAGTTATATATAGACACAATATTTGTTTATTTATTTTTATGTGGGGCTGAGGATCGAACCCAGTGCCTCACATGTGTGAGGCAAGCGCTCTGCCACTGAGCTACAACCCCAGCCCATCATTTTTTTTAAAGAGAACAGTCGTACCAATTTTAGTTCAATACTTTTTAAAGAAGAAGTGAAACTCTTTGAGTGCTGTGGCCTTTGTTTTAGTATGGCATGACAAAGTACGCCTTCATTTTCTTCTATCTTGAGGTCACCCTGCAGAATTTGAAGTGAACCTAGTTGATCTTTAAAAACCTAAAATCCTTCTTTCTTCTTATGACTGATTAAAATTTCTAAATCACAGGAAACTTGATATTACCTCAATACCCCCATAGTTCCATCTTACATAGTCAAAGTAAGCCATGGAAATAGAAGACATGCAAGCAGAAGGCCTGGAGATGTGTGAGGCTTGCCTTCAGTTCCCAGTGTTGCCAAAAAAAAAGGAGAATGTTAGTTTTTAAACTATATTTTAGTAATCAGGGCCATAAACACTGCAAGAATGATTAGCTCAAGGAGTTGAATATTATGGATTTTTTAAAATTATTTACTCTATTGTATTTTTTGAGATACTGGGATTTGAACTGAGGGGTACTCTACAGCTGAGCTACATCCCAGTCCTTTTGTTTTGTTTTGAGACAGTCATGCTACCACTATCAACCTAAATTGATGTTTGAGATTTCACTTTTATTTACTAAAGAATACATCCAAATTTACACATTTTTATGTAATCAGAATGCAAGTTACTTTTTTTCCTTCTTTCTTCAGCAAATCCTCACTACTCAGATTGAAGACATTTCAGAAACTAGGTTACCATGGATGTGTGTGTGTGTGTATGTGCGTGCACACATGTGTGGTTTATGTTTAAGAGATTGAGAGTGAGTAATGTGAAATGATTGAAAAATATAATTTAGTTAAAATTTTCTTTCCTTTTGAGGTTTGTTTGTGTAGTTTAGGGACTCTTCAGTACTGTGAAAGACTAAATGCACCAGACAAACATAGGAGACGATTTTATTCAGATTGTTGCAGAAGGGAGAACATTCATTCATGAGGATTGTTTCCCAAAAAAAGGGAGGGGCTGGAAGTTTCATACAGGCAGGTAAACAGGATGAGGTGCTTGAGTCTTTGGGGAGTCAAGAGAAGGGAGAAGTGGGTCTGTTCTTGGAATACTAAGTGCAAGGTTATCCTTTGTGTTCATCCCTTTGCTGGAACACCAAAGGATAGAAGATTTTAGAGAACAGGGGAGCATAGGGCTCAAGTGTAGTCCAATGTTGTCAATACAAAGGAAGAACAAAAGCCAGGTACATTGGGGTGTAGCATGCCACAGCATCTGCTCTCAAGGTCTGAAGCAGATATTTGGGTGGACCACTGCTACAGGTTAGAAAGCAAAGATGACAAAAGTGACTCAACCAATAGGCAGACTATTCTCATTCACATAGGAAAAGCTCTTCATATGAACATTGTGATGATAAAGTAAATATAGATATATAGATAGATATAGATACACACACACACACACACACACACACACACACACACACACAATTTTTTTAACAAATAAAGCATTTAAATGTAAGAGAAATACATTCCCCAGAGTATAAACGAGCAAAGACAGGGAGCTAAATCAGAGTAGTAAATAAAGAAGGAAGCCAGGCCTGGAGCTGTATAAAGTGGCAGGAGCCTCAACCTAGGGGAGCCTGCTTGAAATGGACCTCTTCAAGAACTACAGCCTCATTGAAAGGTAGATAGGAAAAGTATTTGCCTCTTAACAAAGACAGATGACATGAGATTGTTTACCATATTGTCAGGTGGAAAAAACAAAACAAGATAACCATTATAGTCCTCTCTAAGCATGTGTGAACAGCTCTGGCAACAGAGGAGCCTGGGGTGTTCATTGGAAACTCAGGGCAAAAAACTTAAGTGGCAGTTAAGTTGGTAACAAATCATGGTGCATGGGAAATGCAAAAGTAAATCTCTTTGAGGGGAAACATTTTAAATTTAGGCTCCTAAAGATTCCCATAGATTAAATTCAGGCAGAAATGAGTTTATCAAAAATTACCAAATGCAAGAAAAACTAAGCCACTTGACTAGCAGGAGGAAAACAAGGGTAGGATTTAGAAGCAGCTCCCACCTCACCCCCAAAAAGCTTCAAGTAATAAAGTAATAGAATATAGAATATATAGCACATGTTGAATAATTAAGGAAGCAATGAGAATTTTTTTCATGTGCAACCAAGTTATTACTGACTCCCTTTACCTTTTCCCCAAAGCAGTCATGGTCAGTTTAATCCATCACAAAATGAAAATGTTCTTTCCATTTCAAGACAGGAAAAAAATAATAATGATGAAGGGTAAAAATTGTAAATAGTTTACTAAATAGTTATACAAGATGAGAAATCATTATGCTTTCCATGGAGTTTTCTGGAGCATAATATTTATTTATCATTGAAGGTTTGAATTGCTTTTAAGTATATTCTATAGTTTTGTCATAAATTGCTATCTTATTACAAAAATCACTCTGGCATCTTTTGTCTTTGTTGTTTCCTAAGGCTTATTGGTTGTTCTTTTAAGAAACTTGAAAATTGTCATTAGTAATCCATTTACGATAAAATGATCACAGCCTGTGGATTCACATTATGGTTTATATCTGAAAAACTTATCCTGTACCTTTGGACTCTGTTACACAGAGAAATAGTCTACTGACCTGAGCATATCAAGAACTCATATCTTAGTTCTAGTCACAGATGCATAACTAATTTATTCTATGTCCAGAAAAAAAAATGCGTATTTGAATTTCTCTTCTCCAAAATGTTAATAAAAGTAATTACTTTGCTCACAGCAGATTGAGAACGAATTGATTTTTTATTTATATATGACAGCAGAATGCATTATAGTTTTTATTACATATATAGGGCACAATTTTTCATATCTCTTGTTGTATACATAATATATTCACACTAATTTGTGTCTTCATACCCGTACTTTGGATAATAATGATTATCACATTCCACCATCATTAATTACCCCATGCCCCCTCCCTTCCCCTCCAACCCCTCTTCCTTATCTAAAGTTCCTCTTTTCCTCCCATGCTCCCTCTCCCTATCCCACCATGAATCAGCCTCCTTATATCAAAGAAAACATTTGGCATTTGGTTTTTTGGGATTGGCTAACTTCATTTAGTATTTATTATCTTCTCTAAATCCATCCATTAACCTGCAAATGCCATGATTTTATTCTCTTTTATTGCTGAGTAATATTCCATTGTGTATATATGCTACATTTTTTTATCCTTTCATCTATTGAAGAGCATCTAAGTTGATTGCACAGTTTAGCTATTGGAATTGTTCTGCTACATTGATGTGGCTGTGTGTGTCCCTATAGTATGCTGTTTTTAAGTCCTTTGGATATAGACTGAGGAGAGGGACAGCTGAGTCAAATGGTGGTTCCATTCCCAGTTTTCCAGGAAATCTCCATACTGCTTTCCATGTTGACTGCACCAATTTGCAGTTCCACCAGCGGTTTTTTTCAACTTTATGGGAGTTGATTATTTTATTGCTTTCCTGAACTTCTATGAGTTAAACTTAGAAAAACCACTGTTTGAAGATTTTTATTTCTTTTATTTTAGTACCATTCTGTGCTAGTTTATGCTAATGACTAGAAACAGTGAAATAGTAACCAGGTGGACTGTTCACTCTGAATGAGTGAATTTCACTTGCTTTTGGTTCTGTTAGTATTGAATTATAATCATGTTTATTTATTCAACAATGCTTTAAGTTATCTTTGGGAGTTTTGTGTTGTTGTTTTTGGTGTAAAACTATAATATTATAACCTAAGTGAACCCTAAGAAGAGATCACTGCATATTAAAAGAAAGAAAAGAAAATTAAATCTTAGGGTACTTTATTGAAAGTCTAGTTTACGTGTTCAGGAACCCTTTTCTGAAAAGGATATTTTTATACTGATCTTTTAGTGTTATCAAATTGTTGCTATTTCATAAAGTCAAAGACATTTTGGCATCAATAAGTATTTATTATTTGGGGTTTTAAATTATTGTTTTTGATCTTTTCAAATGCCATAAATGTTTTAAACGCATGTTATTTCCTTTCCTCTTCTAAAGATCTCTCCCTGAAAACCTCGAAGTCTCTCTAGATGACTAAGGAATCTAGGGAATGGCAAGTCTCTCTAAGAAAGACTTGTCTGCTTTATATATACTCTATTAAATATATTATTATTAAATGTTTGTAAATTAACCTGAGGTTTTAAAAATATTTCTATTGACTAGATGATATTATGTTAGTTTTTATATCATTTCTCTATAGGGCAGTTTTGTACATATATGTGTTAATGTGTTCTAGTTGTGAACTGGCTATATTCATTTTTTAACTTTATTTTTATCAAGGAAAAATACATTGAGATAGTTTTTAAAAGCCATATAGCACCTCAAAGATTATAATGAAAAATAAGTTTCTTGGTAATAAATATGTATGGCAGAGGAAGACTATCTTTATAAAAGCTGAAATCTCAAAAGGGAAAAAAATCATTACATTCAGTTGTATTAAATTTTCAATGTAAAGGGAGTGGGCAGGAGGTTAGCAGTGGACATCATTATCCAAAGTACATATATGAAGACATGAATTGGTGTGAACATACTCTATATACAAACAGATATATGAAAAATTGTGTTCTATATGTGTAATAAGAACTGGGATGCATTCTGCTGTGATGCATTTAAAAAATAAAAGCAATTAAAAATTTTTTTTTCAATGTATTGAGTGAATCTTAACAAATGAGTGAATCTTAACATTGTGTACATCCACAAGATTGGGATCCTAATTAGAATAAACTGTATTCCACGTTTCTATAAATATATCAAAATAGATTCTACTGTCAGATATATATATATATATATATATATATATATATAACAAATTTAAAAATTTTTCAGTTAAAGATTCCTTAAGTACAGTCAACAGACAATGATGACAACAACCAAGTAGAAAACATTTGTAGCATAAAGTACATACTGAGGATTAATAGCTATATTATTCAGGGTTCTTATAAAGGAATAAGTAAACAGTTCATCAGGAAAAAACTGATGGAGAAGATGAAAAAGAAATTTAAAAAAAAAATCCGTATGGCTTACAAAACAAAAATGTTTAAACTCCCCAGGAAAATTCAAATGAATAGGTTATGTCCGTCAGACTAGGAAAAGAAAGCTTTGGATGTATTGTTTAGTGGAATTTTCTCATATATTGAATGAGAAAAGTACAGAAAAGAGCATAATATGATAATTTTAATTCTTTTAACAAAAATATGTGCAGAAGCCTATGGATGTATATATGCTAAGTGTGTGTATGTATGTATATGATTATATGAACTAGGAGAAAAATATTCAAAGTATTCATTAGTAAGTTAACAGGCTTACCTGAGCAGAAGGCAGGAGAAGGGGGACCAAGAGGAAAAAAAGAGAAAAGGAAGATCATATAAATATAAAGAACAAAGCCATCTTTAAATGTTTGTGTCATAATATTGTCATATTATACAGTGTGGTATCACAGCAAATGTAACCTAATTAGAGAATATCTAGGCTCAGTCTCAGCCCCTCTGCTCTTTAGCCATATGACCTTAGTCAAAAGCTGAATCTCTCTGGGTATGTTTGTTGTTCTTTAAAATGGAGATAATAAAACCCACTACATAATTGTAGTATGTATCAAATGAGAAAATACATAAGAAAGTTATTGGCATAATATCTGTCCTGTACTATGGCCTCATTAAATCTTGTTTCCCTCCCTGCCTTTAAAAATATTTAACTTTCATAATGTGATTATTAATTTCTAGATTATGTGTTGCAATCCAAGAAGCCAACCAGTTAAGAACAGAAAAAACACATCAGGAAAAACAAACCAGAGACCTTCAAGCAATGTGTAACAAATTAGAAAATGAGAAATATGAGGCTATTCTAAGAGCTAGAGATAGCATGCAACTCCTAGAAGAAGCTAACCTTCAAAAAAGTCAGGTAAGAAATCTAAAAAAAAAAAAAAAGAGAGAAAGAGAAAACTCACAAACATGTTTATAAATAATAAAATGCCAAAAATTCCTCTGTGGCCTAATAGTGAATGAATCATCAGCTGCAGCATAAATGCAGGAGAATGACACTATTCTGTTCTCAGACATACTATATTTTTGAATGGTAAGACTTAATATCATGAAATATGGTAAAATGTCACTTTTTTCCCAAAGCTAATATTTAAATATCAGACTTCCCCATGTAACTGATTTTCCTCTCCTATAGTCACACTTCTTAAAAACTCTTATAATGCTTTGCCACTGTATACCCTATATTTTATTCAGTTGGATCAGATGAGTCTTATTCACCCTCTTTCCTCTTCAGCTCCTATACAATTACTCTAATAGAGCAAAAGTTTAATTGGCAAAATTAATTTTAACTTTAAAGATTATTAACTAGATTCTTTTTGTCACTTTTCCTTTTTTAACCTTCTAAACATTGTGATTTCTGTGCCATCTTATACCATGTTTTTTTTTTCCCTTGTACTGTTTCTGTGCTTATCTTGCCTTTCAGGTAGTATTCCCTATGTGATCTGAGTTCTGTCTCTTAGACTACTTAAAATGAACACAATAAGGCTGGGATTGTAGCTCAGTGTGGTACAGTACTTGCCCAGAGTGTCAGGGACCCAGGTTCAGTTCCCAGCACCACATACAAAGAAAGCACACAATAGATATAATATGTTTGAGTATTGTTTTAAGCATCCAAGTTAACTAGAAATATTAAGGACAGGACAAAATTGTTTACCTCTATCTTCTGAAACCTAATTGCATGAGCACTTTGAATTACCATCAGGTCACAAAAATGAAGATCTTGTGTAGGATACTATGGACAGAGGAGGTGTGTAGACACTCATTGCCTTCCCCCCAGGATCTTATCATGCAAGTTCTAATAGATGCCCACAGAGGCTTCCTGTTGGTAGAGTGTCCATCTCCCATGTGACTCCTTGCTTAACTGCTGGAGGATCCCATCATCAGTTACTTGTTTGATGTTCAGAGTCACTAGCTCTCTAAACCCACTAAGTCTTAAGTGTTTAATTCTGTGAATATTTTGACAAAATTGACACAGGTTCACTGAAACAGATTGGGAATCATAATCTAGAGCTTATATCTCCTTTATTATCATTAAGAATAAAAACAAAGATTGTCCTATAAATAGGACACTGGACAATGTAATATCTTTTTTTATTGGTTGTTCAAAACATTACAAAGCTCTTGACATATCATATTTCATACATTAGATTCAAGTGGGTTATGAACTCCCATTTTTACCCCA